AGGGACAGGATGCAATAGGGGAGCGGAGCAGGATAATGATGACTATTCTGGTCTCCCTTGCTCATCCTCCCCTGTGACCCTGATCTGGTTCCTTAGGGACCGCTTCTGGCATCAGAGTTACACAGCCCTGCTATCAGAGAAAGCCGTCTCTCCTTCATAATCAGGTACCCTTGGGTCTCTTTATAGTAGTGCATGCTGGTTCTCCCACAGGGCTGTTCTCAGCATCCTTTATTACCTCCAGATCTCTATTCTTCCCCTTTATGTAAAAACCTTGGTTCTAAGGCCCATATCTTCCATTTCTCACTGGACTGTGAACTCCTTGAGATCAGTGACTCTTTTTATTTTGTATGTGCGGGTGTGTGTGTGTGTGTGTGTGTGTGTCTGGCATGTGGTGAGTGAATGAATGACAATGAAAAAACAAAATGCTGAATTATGACTTTCTAATAGACAGTGATTTTTATAGGTGTAGCCAAGAACTTGTATTGGCAGTAAGCACAATAACGGAAACCTATTGAACCTTGGAATCAAATGGGAATTTCTTAAGTGGTTCTTATCTGTACTTTGGACTCCTCTTTTCTAGGTGCAATGATGACTACATTCTTTCTCCTCATGGGACATAAAATGTGCAATATGTTTTAGTTTTGTTGGTTAAAAGAATATTCAGTCTTGTGAGTCTGAGATTATATTGTGCTCTAGTGCTTTGGATTTGAATGTCCCTAGACATCCCCAGTTACACATCTGAATATATCTGCTTGGATTATTTTTTTCAGATTAATAAATCCCATCAAGTCTTAGAGTGACTTTATTTTCAATGTTTGGCAGCTCCCTGCCTAAGTCATTAGCCCTGACAGTAGTCGTAGCAGGACAGAGTTGTGTTGCCACGACAAGCTATGTCCTCCTTGGCTGGTTGCTCCAGAGTTTAGGAAGGGCATCATAGTTTTTGAGGTATATCACCGTCCCAGATCCTTAGTTGTTTTCTCTTGCATTATTTGCCAAGTTGTTTTTATGCATTTCACATGGCTACATGCCTACACACAAATAAACACTATAAATAGGTATCCTCTCACTTGAATATTTGAATGTAAACAGTAATCACATGCAGAGTAGTTAATACTGTGCTTGCTTTGTATGGCAGCAGACTGATTTGACCCTTTGTGGTGGTGTTGTGAGGAAGTTTTTATTAATATACATTTAGAAATTAAAAAGCAGATATATATTTTAAAACACCTTCATGAATGCAAATTTTGGTTGAAGACACATAATAATATTTTATGTAAATTAAATATCAATTTGCAGGAAAGAAATAAAGAATAAGAGAAATGAACACGGAGAAGCAACATTTTCTCCCTCCCTGCTACATGCATAGTGTAGAGCACTAGGTTTTTCTATATATATGTACGAATTTCTTCTTTTTCTAGTAGACTATTATTTTGTTCACAAGACATAGGAAAACAAGACTGTCAAATATTAAATTTTGTTTCTACTTTGAAGACCTTTAATATATTATAATATTTGTAAATGTCTATGCTGTTTTCATCAAGAAATGTTTGTTCCAGTGTTTATTACACAATCAAACTCATTTGATATATGTTGTGAAATATAATAAAAATGTAATACTCAAGGGCCCAGTAGATACTGGGGACTCATCCTAGCTCCAGCACTAATTCCACCAAGTGTGGAACTTTGGGTTTTGATCATTGCATCTTCTCGAATCTTAATTTCTCATTTGTTAAATAAGGAATGATATTGTCATCTTTATGTGTTTTCTACGATACTGTGAATTTTAAGATTCTGTACAAATTATTATTTGCATTTGGTGCTTGGCAGAAAAGAGAGGGAGATGTCTTTATGTTTTCTATATTGCTCAAGTTAAAGCTCTAGACAAGGCTATGTCTTTTAATTTAGGAATATGTTTCAAGAAAATATTCATGATTATTTTGAATGAACTTTACATTCAATTTTCATTTTAATTATCATGTCAAGGCTATCTAAAATGAAGACAAGGAAATTCATACTATTTAAAAATTTCTCAAGATATTATTTTTATCAACATTCATATTTTGAAAGATAAAGCTTTTATAAATATGGCTGTGCTGGATACATTTCTAAAGATTTTTTTTTAGGCTTTTATTAACCGTTGAACAGAACTCACTAAGCAAAAAAAAAATAGGATGTAAGAAAGGAATGTTTAGAGCAAAAATACTCTGAGAAATTGCCTTAAAGCTTTTGCTACTTTATTGTGTCACATAAAGTGTGGCATTAAGATTTTGTAACTAGGGTGTGAATTGGCTTAGTCTGGTCTACTTTCTCATTTTAAAGCTGAATTTAGTAAAAGCATGAATAATATTTTAAATAACTTTCTTAGTCAAGCATCTCTGTTTTGAACTTTTCCTCTTTATTTCTGCTGTTCTGCTTACTTCCTTAAAATCGTCCTTGGACTGTTTCATGCCTGGTCTGATGTTTATACTGTCACCAGAACATTTTCCTAGGGTGTTATATATTGGCTATACTGTTTTCCTATGTGGTACATAGTTAACTACATAATGGTTACCTTGACGAAGAGCCATATAAATGCTAACCATGATTATTGTTGGTACCATATTATTGTTGGTGGTGATGTTACCTCTTTTTTGTTTTCCACACCAATATTTTTATCTTATAGAAATGTTCCACCTCTCTAAACAACCTTAAAGCTCGCTACTCAAATGGATTCTGACGTTGGAATCATCTAAAATCTACCCCAAGTTTCACTCCCAGCCAGGTGACTTGCATTTCCAGAGACTTGATAGCATTAGTGGATCCTCAGATTTAGTGTGTCCCATGTGAGTTTCTTACCTTCTATTCCAATTCTCAGCCAGCTTCTCCTGACAGCAAATGGCTGCATTTTTATTTCTTAGGCTAGGCTTCAGCAAACTCTGGCTTTTGGGCCAAATGTGATCTTCTGCTTGTTTTTGAAATGAAGTTTTATTGGAACACAGACATACCCATTTATTTAAGTATTGTGTATGGCTGCTTTTGCTCTAATGGGGCAGAATTGAGTTGCAATAGAGACTTATGACCACCAAAGCCTAAAAAGTATTACTCTCTGCCTTTTATAGAAAACTAGTGCCCTGGTGCACAGATTCGTGCACATTGAAAGGAAATTATTTAGAAGGTGGCTGGCAGGGTGGGACTGGGTGAGACGGGCCGGACATGCCCTGGAGCCAACCTTGCGCTGTCCCTCCTCGGTGTCTGCAGAGTGAGTGGGGGGTCCCTCCAGCAGGTGGGGTCCCTTGGCCTGGCCTGTGGGGATGGGTCGAAACTGGCTCTCTGATATCCCCCAAGGGGTCCTGGATTGTGAGAGGGAGGTTCTCAGGTGATGCCCTCCAGAATCAGGCTCCCTCCTCTCTGGTTCTGAGGTGCATCACCTGAGAACCGCTGCTGCCAAGTCACTGCAGCTTGGCAGCTCCTGCTTGAGTGTCTGCCCCCTGGTGGTCAGACACTCATATTGCGCATCATAGCTACAGGTTGGAAGGTTGCTTAGCCTTTTGTATATATAGATGTTTGCTAACCCCTGCCTTAAACTCAAAACCTTAGCATCACCTTTGATTCTTTCTTGAGGTTTCCCAAGTAAATTTTAGCAAAAGAACTAATCTCCTTTTCTTTAATCATCTCCTCCTCCCTCTCTCTCCCCTCCCTCTTCGCCCCCCCCACCTCTTCCTTTCCCCTGTCTTCCTCTCTCTCTTTCTTTTCTCTCTTTTTTTTCTCTCTTTCTCTCTCTCTCTCTCTCTCTCTCTCTCTCTCTCTCTCTCTCTCCTCTTCCACATGCATTCAGGTCTTCACATCCCTTTGCCAAGGATATTCAACTAATTTCCCCACCTCCTTAAGAGATTTCTCCATTGTCCACTAAATTAAATATTATCCATCCTCTTTCTTAAGGCTCCTTCTGCAATATACATCCTATTAGTCTCCCTTATACAGAAATTCTTTCTATAATGAGATATTTTCTCCTTTCTTTCTTCCTCCTTGTCTTTGTCCATGATATAACAACTCCTGAAGTTTTCTCTGCCTCTATTACCCCACCCCCCAACTTCTGTTTCCCCTTAAACTTCACCCAATTGTTTTTGAGAAGCTTTTTTACTGTCCTTTTCGAGGTGCACATTCTTTTCTCTCCATGATATGTTGTGTGTACATCTTTTGTCACTAAGGGCGTTTTATTTGATGCTGTGTTGCTTATGTCCTTTTATAACTCATCTATTATAAACTATAGGCTTGTTGAATACAAGGCACATATTCCTTTTCACTCTATTTCCTTAAATACCATCATGTCTTAGATGTACATAATAATTAAGTAACTTATTCACTTTATAGGAAGCAGGCTTTTTATTTGCATTTAATTATTGGTGACCTCACAGGCTTTCTTGGATGTTTGGCAATGATCTTCCGTGTTACAGCTGCAGTTCTTGTGGAAACCAGATGTTACTTCTTGTACAGATTGTTAAAGTAAATGGAAAGATTTTTTTGTTTGATAAGGTATTTCACATTTATTACAAGAAAACTATTTGTGTGCAATGATGTGCTTGGTACTGATAAAAAGGTAAAACCAGGTGGTTGAAGCAGGCAATTATTTTCTTGGATATATGTTAAGCAATCTACAGAAGTCAGATCTTTTTGATTTTGTTAACAAGTTTTTTTCAGGATTCCAAGTGGAAAAATTGTACCGAAGTACTCTAAGTTATTGAAATGAAACACTTATAGGTGCTGTTAAAATAGTATTTTATGTTCTGCCTATTCATTCATTCATTTAATCATTCTCTGAATACTTCCTATACTATCTCTTCTATGGTATGATAGACACATACAGAAGTCTTACTATGTTTTTTTAAAACAGTTGTAAGAAAATCCAGTTTCATGCTAGACTGGCTTGTTATTATTTAGAGAATTTCATATGCATTACCATCAGTTTGCACGGGTATACTTACCAGCAAAGGAGTTCACACTGTCTTCTCTTCAATCTTTAGAAGAGCTCAAGAGGAGAACAAGAAGATAGTGCTGGCTGGATGTGTTCCTCAAGCCCAGCCGCGCCAGGACTACCTGCAAGGACTGAGTGTCATAGGGGTAAGCTTATACCTGATGGGGAAAAAGGAAAGTCTTATGTTGTTAAAACACGAAATAACTCCATACTCTATTTTCTGTTTCTACTTTACTTACATGCTGTGTTATAGTTATGAGTGTCCTTAATATACTTCCCCGATTGCGTGAAATTTTGTCATATCTGTGTAACTTTTTCATCATAGCACCAAAAACATGTTCTAGATTATCTCATGAAACAAAAACAAAAACACACATATACACACATACAACTAACAACATAAATAAGTCATAGCATGGAATTTAAGTCCCTTAATAATAACTTGGTCTTTGCCTGCCTGTTCGATATTGCCATATCGTTATAATTTTCTAACCCCACTAAACGACTTGTCATCTCCCAGTATATCTGGGTACACCTACATGCCTTTTTTGGAATGCCCCACTTCCCTTCAGTCACCCTCCAGAAGTCTTGGCTTCAACATTACCATTCTGTCAAGCCTTTGCTGACAATTCTGTGCAGTCCTCGATTAGCCTGTGTTGGGGCTCCCTTTGCTTACTGTGCAGTTACTTGCCATTTGCTCTCTCAGCCTTTTGCAGAGTTGTGATTTTGAGGTTAACGTACATGATTTTTTGATTAAAGCATACCTCTCTGTTTAAATTATTAGCTTCATGATGACAGCTCTTCAATTTTTGTTTTAAAACCATCACGTGTTTCTTCAGCTTTCCCATGATGCCTGACATGCGGTGGGCCCTCTGTAAACGTTGGGTGACTGACCGACTGAATGAAGGAATCTTCCCTTGTACTTGTGTTGTTGGCATACTTTTCCCGCTATTGGGCAGTCAGTTTGGGAAACCGGAAGATTGCTACCTACTATCTCTTATTCTTGTGGCTATTGTCATTCACAGGATGCCCATTCAGTCACTATTTGTTGACCATGTGGTGGTGGTTCATCTTCCCATCATTCAGTGCGGTGGGCCCTCTGTAAATGTTGGGTGACTGACCGACTGAATGAAGGAATCTTCCCTTGTACTTGTGTTGTTGGCATACTTTTCCCGCTGTTGGGCAGTCAGTTTGGGAAACCGGAAGATTGCTACCTACTATCTCTTATTCTTGTGGCTATTGTCATTCACAGGATGCCCATTTAGTCACTATTTGTTGACCATCATTCAACATGTGGTGGGTCATCTTCCCATCATTCAGTATGCTCATCAATGATCTTTTACAGTCTTTAGGTTTCAAAAAACATAAAAATATTGTATGTTCGTAGAAAAAATTTATATGAATAATTGTCACCTGGATTGAGATTTATTGTTTTTTTCCTGATTTGATGTACCAATGACAGGTTCTTATACTGTATTCTTAGTGTAATAAACTTGTTTTCTGCTGTGAGGTCCTTGCCCCACTAGCAGATTTAATAATCTTTGAGCAAACATTCTCATGTTAAACAAACAGAACCTGAATGTTTGGGAACTTAGTTTGTTTTCATCATTTGTCTGTTTACATTTTGATTTCTCTTGGTTTAAGGATTGAAATGAATATGGACTCCGGAGTTATCTTTTCATGTCAGTCTAACTTTCTTCGTAAACATAATCCTGCTGTGTTAGGGAAATAGGAAACTAGTTAGAATTTTGTTTTAGAGATGGAATGTGGTAAAAGCTTGGGATTCATCTTAGATTTCATCTCAAGGAATTAAGTTACCAGAATAGTAGAATTTCTTTCGTATGGCAAAAGCCTCTTCTCTATGTACATATGGTAACGTTTTCCTGAACTCCATTGTGTGCAGTAAAGAGCTTAGTGTCTGTTAGGAGGCAGGGGAGATTCTCAAGATAGTGCTGTTAATGTGGAAGACGATTTTCAGGGATAATGTAAACCCATGGCTGTAACAGCTAAACTTTGTTTTTCTATTTAATCTAGCACCCTCTTGTTCTGTCACCTGGTCTTATTGTATTACCTTTAAACTTCTTTAGATTTATTTTATTTGGCTCCTTTATAATTGGAAAAATAACTTAAGAACACATGTTTTAAAAAGTGAATAGAAAGAAAATCCATAACTCCATCACCCTAACACAATAATTATAACCTTGCTTATCCTCTTCAGACTTCTAATATTTGCATATTTTAGTTAATTATAATCTCCAAACTATTTTTCTTATTTTCCACAAGCTTTTATTCCAGGAGGTTTTTAATGAAATTCTTCATTATTATTCTATTGAAGGATATATCATAATATACTTAATTATTCTTAATTTTTGGATATCAGTATTTTCTGGTTTTTAGGAAATATACATCACACATTAATACTCACAAAGGGGTTTTTATTTTAGATTAAAATCAGTGTATTGTGAAAAGTCTCCAAAAGCTGAATCACACTATCAATAGAAATGGTTCACAGTTTAATTTTATTTTTAGTATTTATTATTTAACTATAAGATTATTCTTTGTCAACATCGTTTTATAGAGCATATAATAGTGATATGACACATCTATCAAAACTGACTCTATTTAAAAATTATGTCCACAGAACCAAAAATTTCAGGGGAAAAAATCTGGAATAGGAAACCAAAATAATCTAAAATTGGTATTTATAGAGACTGTTTCTGAATAGAATGTTAGAATTGTTATAAAATCAGAAACCTTCTGAAATAAAATGAGCTACATTGAAATAAAAAAAATGAGTTATATTGGTTTATACAAAGGAAAAACAATTCTGAAGTGTGAAAAAATATGAAGATGTTTAAATTCAGTGATTTCGGAAACTATTTCTTGGAGAGTGTTTGGAATTGTATTGCACATTTGATTTACAGACTGGATGAAAACTGTTATTCCTTCACAGAATTTCCCTCACAGAATTTCTCTGATAGAGGGTGTTAATAGAGGAGGAAGGAAGAACAGCTGTAACTGCGTTCTGTGCTTTCCCCTCCTGCTGGGATTTGTCTCTGTCACCCCACAATTCAGGGAGGATGTGTCAGTTCTGCTGACCAAGTGATTGAAATAAAAAGCTGCCTTTAGTTGGGCATCAGTGGGTGAGCAAGCTACTTATTGCACACCTGCATTAAAAAGACATACTATCCCATGTTTGCAAATGCTCATAGCATTTGAGAAGAGATTTGATAAGTAAGAAAGATACCATTGTAACATGTTAATTTCCATCAATATCAACCTTTAGAAATGGGGCATTTAATTTGTTTTCATAATCAGAGATAGCAATGTGGTGAGGGCACATAATAATTGGTGATTTGACCCCTGGGTCTTTTTCATTATCTGTCTTGCTGCCTTCTGAAACTATCTAGTTGTGATTAATATTATTTGTGTGGTGGTGCCCGGAAAGGAAATGGAAGTAAAACCTATCAACTTCTAGGTCCAGACCTGGCTTTGGTGGCAGTAACCTAGAGCACAGAGCTGTCTAATTTTTTTTTCACATTGGGAGAGGAGAAAGAAAAGAGAAAAACTGAAGCAGTTTTCCTAGAATGATTAAATGAATTTTTTATTTTTCTGTCTAAAATGTATGTATTTGTAGGTAACCAATCAAGATCTTTTACATTTTTTCACTATTGGAACATTTTACCTTACAGTGAAAAATTTTATTTCCCTTTTGGCAGATAGTTATGGTTAGCTATCCACCTTGGAATGAGTTTTCATGCAGTGTCATCTTTTTCCTGTTATTTTCTACTAGGGACCCAGTGCACAAATTCGTGCACCTTAAAAGGAACTGTGGGCCGCGAGGCTGCAGTGGGCACAGGGGCGGGTCTCGGCCCAGCCTCTGTGCCCCTGCCTGGTCCCTCCTGCCATGGCCTCTGGTCCTCTGTCTTCTGGCAGCCCCGCTCAAGCCGCCACCGCTGCTCCCACACGCTGACTTCCAGCCCCGCTCGCACCTGCTTATAGTGCAGAGCGATTGTCTGCTGGCAGCCCCGCTCCCGCCGCCGCTGCTCCCACACGCTGACTGCCAGCCCCGCTCGCACCTGCTTATAGTGCAGAGCGATGGGGGCCGAAGCCAGTAGGGGTGCGAGCAGGGCCTGCACTGTCAGTGCGTGCGAACCATGGCTGCTGTCCAGATCGCCCCTCAGGAGCAGGGGGAGATGGAGAAGCCCTGAGCGGAGATTGGGAATGGCGCTGGGTGCCAGTGCTGCTCCCACACGCTGACTGCCAGCCCCGCTCGCACCTGCTTATAGTGCAGAGCGATGGGGGCCGAAGCCAGTAGGGGTGCGAGCAGGGCCTGCACTGTCAGTGCGTGCGAACCATGGCTGCTGTCCAGATCGCCCCTCAGGAGCAGGGGGAGATGGAGAAGCCCTGAGCGGCGATTGGGAATGGCACTGGGTGCCAGTAGCGGGTGCGGGGGTCAGGCGGGACTGTGGTGCGCAGGAGCAAAGCATTTTCAGTAACCACCAGAGGCTCGTCCTGGTGACAGTGACCAGTGCCCCGCCTCTGTCTGATGCCCCTGCTCACCTGCTCCACCATCCCACCGCAGCCGACGCCCGCAATTTTCTGCACTCTGCTGTCTGCTGCTGATGCCCGCTATGTTCCGCACAGGCCCCTTAGTGGTCAGTGCACATCCTGGCGGTTTGTTTGGTTGTTCCACTGTTTGGTCTATTTGCATATTAGGGTTTTTATATATATAAAGATTATGTTTAAATTGGCTCCTGGTGTCTAACTAGGTAGTAATGTCATGATCTTGTGACTGTACCTATTGAATATTCCTCTCTTTCTCTTCAGCTCATTTGTTGGCGGGAAAGTTTCTTTTAAAACAACCAGAAAGCAATTGTTCTCTGATAACGTCTGGTAGAAAAAAAAATAGTAGATTTCAGGACTCAGAAAGTTTGGCTTCAGATCCTGGGGCTGCTGCATCTTCTTATTTCCATTCAGAAGTATGTACTGAGTGCTTACTATGTGCAAGGTACTGTTCCGGGTGGTAGGAATGCAGCAGTCTGTAAAATCAGAGATCCCTGTCTTCATAGAGCTTACATTCCAGTTTTGGGAGAGACATCTGGTTTGAGCCTAGATTATTTCAAGCCTCCTAGAGAATGTGGTG